ACAGCACAAGAAGTACGTGAAGCAAACATAAGTTTTAATAGCTGAATCGATCAAGCAGAAGAAAGGATATCAGAGATTGAAGATCAACTCAATGAAATAAAAAGAGAAGGCAAGACAAGAGAAAAAAGAGTGAAAAAAAAAATGAGTAAAGTCTCCAAGAAAAATGGGATTATGTGAAAAGACCTAATCTATGTTTGATTGGTGTACCTGAATATGATGGGGAGGATGAATCCAAGTTGGAAAACACACTCCAGCATATTATCCAGGAGAACTTCCCAACCTACCAAGGCAGTCCAACATTCAAATCCAAGAAATACAGATAACTTCCTGTTCTCAAGAATATTCCTCAAGAAGAGATATTCCTCAAGAAGAGCAACCCCAAGGCACATAATCATCAGATTCACCAGGGTTAAAATGAAGGAAAAAATGCTAAGGGCAGTCAGAGAGAAAGGTCAGGTCACCCACAGAGGGAAGCCAATCAGACTCACAGTGGATCTCTCAGCAGAAACCCGACAAGCCAGAAGACAGTGGGAGCCTATATTCAACATCCTTAAAGAAAGAACTTTCAACCTCATAACCAGCCAAACTAAACTTCATAAGTGAAGGAGAAATAAAATCCTTTACGGACAAGCAATTACTGAGAGATTTCATCACCACCGGAGCTGCCCTACAAGAGCTCCTGAAAGAATCATTAAGCACAAAAAGGAACAAGTACCAGCCACTGCAAAAGCACACCAAATGGCACAGACCAAAAATGCAATGAAGAAAATGAGTCAGCTAACAGGCAAGAAAACCAGCCAGTAACAAAATGGCAGGATCAAATTCACACATAACAATATTAACATTGAATGTTAATGGCCTAAATGCCCCAATCAAAAGACACAGACTGGCAAACCTGATAAAAAGTCAAGACCCATCGGTGTGCTGTATTTAGGAAACCCATCTCACATACAAAGACACACAAAAGACTCAAAATGAAGGGATGGAAGAAGATTTTCCAAGCAAATGGAGAACAAAAAAAAACCCTGGGGTTGCAATCCTAGTCTCTGATAAAACGGACTTCAAACCAACAAAGATCAAAAGAGACAAAGAAGGACACTACATAATGGTAAAAGGATCAATCCAACAAGAAGAGCTAACTATCCTAAATATATATGCCCCCAACACAGGAGCACCCAGATACATAAAGCAAGTTCTTAAAAACCTAAAATGAGATTTAGACTCCCAAACAGTAATACTGGGAGACTTCAACACTCCACTGTCAATATCAGACAGACTGACAAGGCAGAAAATTAACAAGGACATCCAGGACTTGAATGCAAAGCTGGACCAAGCAGACCTAATAGATGTATACAGAATGCTCCACCCCAAATCCACAGATTATACATTTTTCTCAGCACCACATCGCACTTACTCCAAAATTGACTACATCATTGGAAGCATATCACTCCTCAGCAAATGCAAAAGAGCAGAAATCATAACAAACAGTCTATCAGACCACAGCGCAATCAGATTAGAACTCAGAATTAAGAAACACACTCAAATCTGCACAACCACTTGGATGAACAACTTGCTTCTGAGTGTTGACTGGATAAACAGTGAAATGAAGGCAGAAATAAAGATGTTCTTCAAAATCAATCAGAATGAAGACACAACCTACCAGAATCTCTGGGACACCTTTAAAGCAGTGTTGAGAGGGAAATTTATAGCAATAAATGCCCACTTGAGAAACAAGGAAAGATCTAAAATTGACACCGTATCATCAAAATTGAAAGAGCTAGAGGAGGAAGATCGAAAAAACTCAAAAGCTAGCAGAAGACAAGAAATAACTAAGATCAGAGCCAACCTGATGGAGACAGACACAAAAAACCCTTCAAAAAGTCAATAAATCCAGGGGCAGGTTTTTCGAAAAGATCAACAATATAGACAGACCCCTAGCCAGACTAATAAAAAAGAAAAGGAATAAGAACCAAAGAGATGCAATAAAAAAAGATAAAGGGGATATAAACACTGATCCCACAGAAATACAAACTATCATCAGAGATTACTACAAACAGCTCTATGCACATAAACCAGTAAACCAGGAAGAAATGGATAAATTCCTGGACACTTGAAATCTACCAAGACTAAACCAGGAGGAAGTCGAAACCCTGAATAGACCTGAATAACAAGGGCTGAAGTTGAGGCAGCAATGAATTGCCTACCAAACAAAAAAAGTCCAGGTCCAGGCAGCTTCACAGCTGAATTCTACCAGAGGTACAAAAAGGAGCTGGTTCCATTCCTTCTGACTATATCAAACAATACAAAAAGAGGGAATCCTCCCTAACCCATTTTATGAGACCAACATCATCCTGATACCAAAACCTGGCAGAGACTCAACTGAAAAATGAAACTTCAGGCCAACATCCATGATGAACATCGACGCAAAAGTCTTCAGTAAAATACTGGCAAACCAATTGCAACAGCACATCAAAAAGCTTATTCATCATGATCAAGTAGGCTTCTTCCCGGGGATTTGAGGCTGGTTCAACATACGCAGGTCCATAAACGTAATCCACCACATAAACAGAACCAAAGACAAAAACTACATGATTATCTCAATAGAAGTAGAGAAGGCTTTCAACAAAATTCAACAGCCCTTCATGCTAAAAACTATCAATAAACTAGGCATCAACAGAATGTATTATAAAATTATAAAAGCCATTTATGACACACCTACAGCCAATATCATACTGAATGGGCAAAAGCTGGAAGAATTCCCTTTGAAATCAGGCACTAGACAAGGATGCCCTCTCTCACCACTCCTATTCAATATAGTATTGGAAGTTCTAGCTGGAGCAATCAGGCAAGAAAAAGAAATAAAGGGTATTCAATTAGGAAAGGAGGAAGTCAAACTGTCTCTATTTGCAGATGACATGATTGTATATTTAGAAGACCCTATCGTCTCAGCCTAAAATCTTCTCAAACTGATAAGCAACTTCAGCAAAGTCTCAGGATACAAAATCAACGTTCAAAAATCACAAGCATTCCTATATACCAATAACAGACAGAGAACCAAATCAAGAGCGAACTTCCATTCACAATTGCTACAAAGAGAAGAAAATACCTAGGAATACAACTAAAAAAGGATGTAAAGGACTTCTGTAAGGAGAACTACAAAGCACTCTCAACGAAATAAGAGAGGACACAAACAGATGGAAAAACATTCCATGCTCATGGTTAGGAAGAATCAAAATCGTGAGAATGGCCATACCATCCAAAGTAATTTATAGATTCAACACTATCCCCATCAAGCTACCAATGACCTTCCTCACAGAACTGGAAAAAACCACTTTAAACTTCATATGGAATCAGAAGAGAGCACATATAGCCAAGAAAATCCTAAGCAAAAAGAACAAAGTTGGAGGCATCACACTGCCAGACTTCAAACTATACCACAAGTCTATAGTAATCAAAACAGCATGGTACTGGTACCAAAACAGAGACATAGATCAATGGAACAGAACAAAGGCCTCAGAAACAATACCACACATCTACAACCATCCGATCTTTGACAAACCTGACAAAAATAAGCAATGAGGAAAGGATTCCATGTTTAATAAATGGTGTTGGAAAAACTGACTAGCAATGTGCAGAAAGCAGAAACTGGACCCCTTCCTGTCACCTTACAGTAAAATTAACGCCAGATAGATTAAAGATTTAAACATAAAACCTAACACCATAAAAACACCAGAAGAAAACGTAGGCAAAACCATCCAGGACATAGGCATAGGCAAAGACTTCATGACTAAAACACCAAAAGCAATGGCAACAAAAGCGAAGACAGACAAATGGGATCTAATTAAAATTCAGGGCTTCCGTATAGCAAAAGAAACCATCATTAGAGCGAACCAGCAACCAACAGAATGAGAAAAAATTTTTGCAGTCTACCTATCTGACAAAGGGCTAATATCCAGAATCTACAAAGAACTAAAACAGATATACAAGAAAAAACAAACAACCCCATTCAAAAGTGGGCAAAGGATATAAACAGACACTTTTCAAAAGAGGACATATATGATGCCAACAAACATATGAAAAAGTGCTCATCATCATTTTTCATTAGAGAAATGCAAATCAAAACCACATTGAGATACCATGTCACGCCAGTTAGAATGGCAATCATTAAAAAATCTGGAGACAACAGATGCTGGAGAGGATGTGCAGAAATAGGAACACTCTTACACAGTTGGTGGGAATGTAAATTAGTACAACCATTGTGGAAGACAGTGTGGCGATTTCTCAAGGATCTAGAAATAGAAATTCCATTTGTCCCCGCAATCCCATTCCTGTTTATATACCCAAAGAATTAGAAATTGTTCTACTATAAAGACACATGCACATGTATGTTTACTGCAGCCCTGTTTACAATAGCAAAGATCTGGAACCAACCCAAATGCCCATCAATGATAGACTGGATAAACAAAATGTGGCACATTTACACCATGGGATACTATGCAGCCATAAAAAACGATGAGTGTGTGTCCTTTGTAGGGACTTGGATGAATCTGGAAACCATCATTTTCAGCAAACAGACACAAGAACAGAAAACCAAACAGCACATGTTCTCACTCATAGGCGGGTGTTGAACAATGAGAACACGTGGACTCAGGGAGAGGAACATCACACACTGATTCTGCAGCAACTTCCCTACATTACAGAGCCGGAAAGTAGCAAGATTTAAAATCTCACAAGCAATAATGAAGGAAAGCCAGAGTCAAAAGAATGCATAGAAAATGGTTCCATTTACCTAAATACAAAAGCAGACAAAACTAACCTATGCTGTTAGAAATCAGAGAGGGCAGTAATGACTGAAAGAAGGGACAGTCTTTTTGGCTCCACACTAGATTGCCGATGCTTTCTAGGTTGTAACTGTGTACCAGTGAGTGTGATGCAGGCTGATGAACTGCTACTTATGTAGCAATACTAAGATCTTCTCAAATGTTAGTTTTAAACACCAGTTTAGTTACTGGCTTTCTCTTATGTTCACAAAACATGGTGGTTAAGGTGTGTGAAACTTGACTATTTTAAGATACTTCTACAGGGATTAGGCCCTATCTCTAGGCCCCAATAGTTCCGTAAGATTTCTTAGTCCTCCAGGTGCTTATTTAAGACAACTTTTTCTTTATTCCAACCCTGAAGAATAACATCATCCTCAGTAACAATTCATAAGAAATGAAACATATCTAAACTCCAGGTATTGTGGTTTAAACAGGAAAAAGAAAGATTTGTAACTGATCCAATTAGAAATGAATTGAAGACTTAGCCAACACGATATGATGTGACTAACCCAAATCTATAATAATTACACATGTCTATTGAACAAGCTGCAGCAAAAGGTTATGGGCTTCAGGGTACAAGCCTCTCAAATCACCCTCGCAGCGTCTGAGCAGAATGTGCGCTAACCAGAAAGGAAGAGTGATTGATCCTTTTAGGCCGGTGACTGTTCCCAACTACATGATTTGTAACATTTATGAATACCTATAAATCTCGTAAAAATGTCTTGAAGCTGACAAATTCACAGTGGCAGAGAAAAGTTTTCCAAAAATTGTAATCTCTAAAAATTGAAACTGTATAATTAGCACAAAACACAATCAGCAAAATTAGCAAAAAATGTTAGTCCTGGCAGTGACAGGCTACTTTGTTAATATTCCAGAAAATAGTTGCTGTAATATTGGAAGGTGTTCCTGCTGTAATGTCTTTTATTTACTTTTCATCCAGCAGGCATTCAGCAATATTTGACTTTAAAAATTATAAAAGGTCTCTCAGTTATTGGTTATGCTCTTCCGGTTAATGCAATATGACTACTTATCCTGCAAGATGCTTCAGGGAGTTTTCATTTCTAGTTCAAAATGTTCTAACAAATCATTTTTGGCATTTAAAGAGCTCATCAAGTCTATGATTAAAATGCTTAATTTTTCTTCTTTAAAGTATGGGTCATTGCCCTCAACTTAATGGATACACTATATCATCTGAAATTTTTCTTTTTCATAAGATCCACCATGGCAAATTATTAACATCTAAAAAGTGAGGGAAACATAGTTTTCATCATTTGTTTGTTTCATTTACAGTTTTGCATGATTTCTTTAGAAAGTCAAAATTCTCTGTAATGTCAGTTTTCACTTTTTTCAGTATCTTTAGACATAGATGGTGTAACTGTGGGTTAAAAAAGCAAGTCTTCTAATCTCCCCTTTGTAGACCAATAGTCTTTTGTTAAATACAATAAAAAATATGTTATAATTTGTAAATTCTGTATTAAATTATTCTTGGACTGTAAAGTCAGTTTTAGATACAATTTAAAATTAAAAGCTTCCATAAAATTTAAAAATTATAAAATTGCATGCATAATATGATCCCATTTAGACAAAACTGCATGTGTCTATATACAAACATAGAAAATATGTATTAGAATGTTCACTGATATGTTCACGGTGATAATCTCTGAGTGGTGGGATTTTGGCCATTTTTGCTTTTTCCTTTATACCTTGTATATTTCCTAAGGTTTCACATGTATTATTTAGAGCATTTTAAAATACATTTTCCTTGTTTGTTGCAGGGAGGGACGCCTGTTCCCTACAGTGAACAGTCACTGTGCAGACACCTTGGGGTATGTTATAACTGCCCTAATGCATGCCGCCTTGTGATGTGATGTGGTCAAGATGAGTGGACCTAGTCAGATGATTTGATAAGTTTGTGTGGAAGTGATTTGGGACAGAGGATTGTCCATGCTAATCAGAGCCTGCAAATGTGGATGTGAATGACAAAACATGAATATTCTAATTTAACTTAAGAGAACTATAACTGTCATAGCCCACTGGATTATCAACTAATTCTCTTCCAAATCACAGAACTGATTAGAGAAAACAAATTTTAGAGTTACAGAATGCCAGAATTATAAAGGAACTTAGCGATCATCTGGCCTACTCCTGTCATATTACAGATGAGAAAACTGGGCCCCAGGAAGAAGAAGTATGTCTAGTTCACATGGAAATTTAAAAGCGTGTGTGTCCACATGTTCTCACTCATAGGCGGGTGTTGAACAATGAGAACACATGGACACAGGGAGGGGAGCACTACACACTGGGGTCTGTTGGAGGGAAATAGGGGAGGGACAGCAGGGGGTGGGGAGTTGGGTAGAGATAGCAAGGGGAGAAATGCCAGATATAGGTGATGGGGAGGAAGGCAGCAAATCACATTGCCATGTGTGTACCTATGCAACAATCTTGCATGTTCTTCACATGTACCCCAAAACCTAAAATGCAATTAAAAAAAAAAGTGTGTGTGTGTGTGTGTGTGTGTGTGTGTGTGTGTGTGTGTGTCGTGAGGAGCAGTGTCATTTGGGAGGCCTGGCACCAACCTCATTGGAGCCATGATTTATCAGCCCTGGAGAAACAGTGACCCACTCCTTACTCTCCTTCTCTCCCTTATCAACATCTCTAAAATTTTCTGTAAGCCTCTTGTCACAGTTTCCAAGATAGCTGCTTATCCTAGTTTAATTACATTTTACCATATAAGCTTCCTGTTTCCTTCAGAGGGTCCACCTCATTCTCACATATGCTATCTAAACCTTAAGGCAGATGGAACAGCAGTGTAGGCTGTGTTCATACTTACTAGTATCCACTGCAGACTAAATCTTATGTGCAGACTCCAGAAATCAGTCTCTGTTGAATCCATTGCCTATTCTTTTAGTGTATTTACTGTAAGGATAATTAGACAGAGCAGCAGTAGCCTGGGGACTGTAAGCAATGGATTGGGAGAAAATAAAGGTTGCCACTCAAAAGTCTATTGAGGGTACTTTCATTCCGTCACAATTGCTTAAACCTGCAAAATGTAAAGCCAGATTGAACTGAATCTGGCTGCTTAGCAATCTCAAAATCCTTTTAGAAAGAGTTGGGGTAAACAGTAGGATTCTCCAGAGAAACAGAACTAATAGAGGGGTGAAGAGAAGAAGAGAGAGAGAGACAGACTGCACAGCTGGCTTTTTCATGTTCTTATATTTGCTCCCCAGTCTGTCTCCAGCCCTGAGCATCAAAATCCTACTTCCAGACAAAGTAGCTCAAATACCAAATCCATCCAAAATCTTCTCCAAATGTTCAAATCTAAAATAACATGCTATTCCTCTGTATTGCCCAGAAGAATAGATTTCTTAACGGTTCTAAAAAACAAAAACAAAAAACATTCTCCCTTATACACAGACCTTCTCAAATGCAATTTCTGCTTACTGGACGTAAGCATCCTGAGGACAGGGACCATCCGTACATCTTCATAGCACAGGCGCTCACCTATTCAGTTTATTGCAGAGCTAGAGAAATAGAGAAGTAGAACAATTTCTCAACGTCACCGCTCAGGACGAGAATACTTAAAGATAAGAAAGGCGAAGTCTTGCTGTAATTATCTGACCCCCTGCCTACTCCTGCACTCTGCCATCTGGGGTCACGTCATCCCCACCTGTACATCCAGGCTGCCCTGATTCTGGCCTTAGCTGAATAAATATAAGGGGTACAAAATCAATTTATTAGCTCAGCCAGAGTTCAGCTAACTCTGCTGTTGCCTTGGACACATAAATCCAGACCTTGAAAGGCTGGATTTTCTGCTTTTCAGCCCATGCCCTCATAGCTGAGGTGAAACAATTATGAGCTTATGAGAGTGTCACAAGACTACAGACTTCGGTAGGGAATGAAGCTGTGGGCTCAGGAGTCAAACGATCCAGACATGAGTTCTGAATGTTACTTCCACTAGCTAAGGAAGTTGGTTAATTATGCAACTTCCCCTAGCATCTGTTTTCCCACCTGCAAAGTGAGAATTTTTAGTACAATGCAGCTCATAATGTTTAGTGAGGAAGACCTGAGACACAGTTTGTGAAAGTGCTTTACAACATTGCTACAGATCTCAGTTATTCTTGAGATCAAGTCCCCTATGGGCTTCTCACTCCAGCCCTTCTGCCCTAGAAACACTTTAAATGAGGGGCCTGGTCCCAGTACACCAACCTTTCAAGTAGGGCCACATTAAGATCTTTATATAAACTAACGTAATTGTAAGAAATTATAACACAACATTCTTATATTTCCTAGGACAATAGCTTTGAGGCTATTTTTGAAATAGAAATCCTTCAATAGGACGCTCGGGACCCCTGCTGTGCTGCCCCAAGCACATGGTGGGATCAGCCTAGTGGTGAGCCAGCATGGCCTTCCTCTGGCTTTCATGACCTGAGGCCTAGGTTTCTCCTGACTGGATCAGCTGAAGCCTCCATCCCTGACCACCCTAGTCTGACTCACTTGTTCTAGAAATGATGAGGTAGGAGAAGAGGTCAGCAAATGGCAAGGTCTAGATGGGAAGAGAGTTCTTACCTTGACATCAGTCATTTGAGACAGGGCAAGCGAGTCAGGTGAGATGGGAGCAGATGGCTCATACTTGGAGTGGCTCTGGTTGAGTGAGGTAGAACTGTTTTCTCCAGGTGAGATCTGAGAGTTGGGTATGCATCTTCTGTGCCAGGAGGCACGACCAGCTGCTCCAATTCAGAAAAGTTACGCTTCGCTACTTACCGTTCCTCTCCTCTCCTGCCTCCTTTCTCATGACTGGAGCATTTTAGCACTGGATCCCCCATGTACCTTGCCTTACTGCTTTTATAGAGCTCCACCAATCCCTTCACTCCCAAAGCCTTAACTCTTCTTACCCATTGATATGGTTTCGCTCTGTGTCTCCACCCAAATTTCACCTTGAATTATAATAATCCCCACTGTCAAAGGCAGGACCAGGTGGAGATAATTGAATCATGGAGGAAATTCTTTCCATGCTATTCATGCAAAAGTAAGTGAGTTCACAAGACATGATGGCTTTATAAGGGGCTTCCCCCTTCACTCGGCACTCATTCTCTCTCCTGACACCCTGTGACGAGGTGCCTTCTGCCATGGTTGTAAGTTTCCTGAGGCCTCCTCAGCCATATAGAATGGTGAGCTGGTTAAACCTCTTTCCTTTATAAATTACCCGGTCTCAGGTATGCCCTTATAGCAGCATGGGAACAGAGTCATACACCCATTTATGCCCAGTCTGAAAGAGCTTTCAGATAACCTTGCCTCAAGGTAAAGCTAACCTTTATAACTTAAGCTTCAGTTCTTCCTCCAGGAATCCTGTTATGGTTCCTTAATATGGAGTGAGAGATTTTGTCTCTACCTCTCATATCACATTTTGCATATTTCTAATGTAGGATTTATTATGATGCACCATAATTGCTGGTCTACTTATTTGCATGCCTCATTAAACTAAGAACTTTTTCTTTAAAATAAAAAAATTCCATTACACTGAGGATTGGAATTATTATCAGCCCAGAGTGGGCTCAGAGGACATCAGAAATTCTGAGTCACCAAAGAGATAAAATTGATGGGTGACAATAAAGACATATATGAACAAGCTCTTCCAAATACTTCCATATCACTTAGGTGCTTGCCAATGCTGGAGAAAGGGAAACCCATACTACTTGTGGATCTTGACTACATGTGAGTAGGGGGCTCATCAGCTTGGTGAAATGCCAGATGCTAAAAGAAATCAGCCCATGGACTATGACTTAGAAATAAATTATGCAGATAGTCATTGCTTTCTTATTTTCTTTTCACTTTCCTGTCCTGCTGTGGTTTAGCATTTATGAGTTCTGCAGTGAATTACAGTATTTTAAGAAAATAAAATATCCTTTTCCTCTTGACTCTAAGGTTACATAGAAATTTGTTATGCAATAAAAACAACATTTAACATTCTCTGAAAATATTCTCTTGAAACATACCTTCTAGGGTTCTCCAAAAACTCTGAAGAAGGGTTTCAAAACTTTTCCTTTAAAGAACAACTTGAGTCTAGCACCTCTCAGAGGAAATGCCACCCTCAATTTTTCTTGGCTTAATTTCATTTTAAAAATAGTAAACTTTCTTCTTTCTCCTTTCAAGCTCTGCTCCGTAGTCCCAGGAATAAAAGGATTCATAGCAAAGCAGCTGGATTTTGTAGATAATAAAGGTAAGAGCAAAAGTAATGATATTGAAGGCAAAAGTACATTAGAGAGAACTGTCAAAACTAGAGATTCATTCTTCAAAAAATGCTAATAACTAAAACTTTGAGAGTATTGATGAATGAGAGGAGAGAGAGAGAGAGACAGAGAGAAAGAGAGAGAGCAGGTAAATAGTAGGAATAAAAAATGGCTTTAACTGCAAATATAGAAAGAATATCAAAAATAAAAAAATAATTTGAACAAATTTTTTTCACCAGTAAATTAGAAAAGTTAGATAAAATAAACCATTTTTCTAGGTAACATGTTAGCAAAAACGATTCAAAGAAAAAAATCACAGAACCAAATAAACTTAAAAATATTAAAGATAATCTATAAGGAATTTTTAAAACTCTGTCCTTAGGTTAAGGGGAAGAGTGCTGAAACAGTTTTAAAAGTGAGATCTACCAACTGTTAAAGTTGCAGATTCCTGCCATGTAGGAATTATTATGCTGGAATGTCACAGATATGTGTTTCTCACCTTCATTGGGCCTCATCTGCCATCTACCAAGGTATGAGGTTATCCATGTATAAGGCTAGCTCATACATTCTATCCTCGAAATGTGTTCTAGGATCTCCTCCAGCACAAGGAGGAACCTTCTACTCTATGGTAGAACACACAGATCCTAGAACAGACCGGGTTTGGGTTTTTATTTCTCCTGTTTAAAAACAAACAAACAAAAACAGGAGAAACAGGAGAAAAAAAACCCCAAACCTGGTCTGTTCTAGGATATATGTGTTTCCTTAAAGTCTTAGTTTGATTATGTTACAGTTAGTATGAGTGACTCCATTTTGGTTTGGTCTGCTCTGCTGGGGCCTTCTGCATGAGTTCAGTCAAAAACAATAGCCTCCCATAACTTTGTTAAACAAATTCCCCCTTTTTGGTCAGGTTCTCACTCAGGTAAGAGTCTGACCAAAACTTAGAGCCTTTTGTCGTTTTTACTTACCATCATTTTGGGTTTCCGGTCTCAGCATTGTCATTCAAAGGTTACAGTTCCCTCAGGGTCACACATTTCTTTCAGCTCTTGTCATTCGAGTTGAAGGAGACCATTTGACATCCTAGAGATGGCTGCATGCAAACAAATCTTCTGGGAGAATACAGCATACTAGGGAGACTACTATTATGACTATCAGGAGGATAACAGCAAGAGTTAACCAAGATCCCCATAAACCAAACCATCTAAAATTAAATAGATCAAAGAATAAGCTAAAGAATCTTCCTGCTTATCTAAGCAGTCTCTTCATTAATCCCCTACAACTGAATCTCTTCAATACCTGATGTGATGTATTTCTCCACAGGCCACAAATGCCAGTAGCTGCACAAATACTTCTCTGTTTAGCCAGTAAATGATCTAGAGCAATTTTATTGTTTAGCATAACTTTCACAAGAAAATTTAAAGTCTGTTTTGCAACCATAGTCCTTACAGTAGAGTCTGCTGTAGAGCTTATCATGAGGGATACATTTTAGTCATTGCCTCTTTTACTCCAAACCATGAGAAATAAAGGACCTAATAAATAATGCCCTTCTAGAATAGTGAAGGCCTCCTGGCAATGTACTTTTTAACCAATAATGTGCATTAAGAAGGGTGAACCAATGTTTTGTTTATGACTGATTATGAAGCAACATATGTACCTTTAAAATTTTTCACCTTCATTGGGCCTCATCTTCCATCTACCAAGTTATAAGCTTATCCATATATAAGGCTGGCTTCAAAATCTTTCACAAATAAAGTATACACAATGAGTACACATAACAGACCCCTTTTCACTTCTATTGTTCACAGAAGCATAAGCAAGGGAAAAAATATTCAAAGATAAGGAGTCTCATGATAGTAGAGAAATCTTGATCCATGATCTTGGGAAAAAGCTGTTCATATAAAAAATGCCATCTTATTCTGGGGAGAAACTTCCCTGGTTGGCTTTACTTTAAGGGTTCCAATGGGTATAGTTCCAAGAGTGTGGATGAACCCTTCTCAGTTGTTAAATTATGAGCCCAAGATTCAAGGTCCTGAAGTTTTGCTGCAATGTGGATGCCAAGGGCAGTCTTTCTCTGATGTTCTCAGAAGATCCGATCTTCAAGTTCTAGATTATGAAGGGGTTGATTGTCCTCAGTTAGCGAACCATAAAATGCTTTCTTTGCCTGGTGAAAATACATGGTGATATAATAATCTACTATTATAACATCAGCCCTCTTGCATGGGAAAGCTTTTATACAACCAGAAAACATGCACTGAAAATGACAATAGAAAGAAATCCCTCCGTAAGTGTCCGAAAGGCCCATCAGGTGGTCAAATGTACTTAAGGCTTTGTCTTCCATGGAATATGGTCATAAACTATTTTAGCAATTTAGAAGTCACTACGCCAATGTATATTTAATTTGGATTTTATCTTTTCCATAATGAGTCATAGAATGCAGAACTTTTAATAACAAAAGTTTTAAGGACTGAGAAAGGACAAGGCAGCCATCCTGGTTCTCTGGGAGTCCATGCTTCATGTTGGACTTAAGTTCTGTTGAATATCAGTTGTTTAAATTTAGGTGCATAGCACTGATAACTAATGGGTTATCATAGGTAATTTGACTTACACTATGGAGTTCACTCAAATTGTGTACCTAAACAATTTCAGTATTGGTTGATTTAGCATGAAAATCTGGCAAAGTATTTTCTTGGTAGTCAATTAATTTTTATTCTACTTGGGTTAGTAGTTTTATAAACCAGTCAGTCTTTTCATTAAAGTTCCAGGAATTCTTACCTGTATTCAAGAGTGCTTTTCAAGATCCTTTCCATCCTTTCATAAACCTTCTAAAAGATATCATATTCTAGAGTGTCAAGTGCTTGTGAAGTTTTCAGAAACTGCATTGGAATTAGGCAATTAACTGAGGAAATGACTTTGAACAATCATATACAACTGACAAGGAAATTTGGTTATTTCTGTGATCTACAATAACTAACATAATAACTGATATGGTTTGGCTCTGTGTCCCCATCCAAATCTCATCTCGAATTGTACTCCAATAATTCCCATGTGCTGTTGGAGGGACCCAGTGGGAGATAATTGAATCATGGGGGCAGTTCCCCCCATACTGTTCTGGTGGTGGTGAATAAGTCTCACAAGATCTGACGTTCTGCTTTTGTGTCTTCCTAATTCTCTGTTTGCCTGCTGCCATCTATGTAAGACAGAACTTGCTCCTTCTTGCCTTCCACCACGATTGTGAGGCTTCCCCAACCATGTAGAGCTGTAAGTCCAATGAAACCTCTTTCTTTCGGACCTCTAAATTGCCCAGTCTCAAGTATGTCTTTGTTAGCAGTGTGAAAATAGACTAATACAATAACTGTAATTATGATTGATAGCATATATTCAGACATATTAGAATTTTAGAAATCCCATACATTTTGGAACATATATTAACATTCGCTAAAATATAACCTGAAGAAAATTAAACATTATTTTTTTATTCTGGCAATGCTTCCCATGTAACTTAACATGTCGAATAATCCTGTTTACTTCTCTTTTGGATGCTTCAGGAGCCCTCTGTAGCATCCCAAAGTTAGAGGTTGGAATAGATCATTTTGAAGCTGAAATTTGATTTTGGAAAGCCTGTCAAATACGTTAAAGACTTCAAGTACTTGATATTATAAAACAGAATTCCAGGTCACCGTAAGTCATTTATTTCACGAAAATAATGACTCAAAAATTGCAAAAAGGCAAAAACCTTTACTTATTGATAGAGGGAATATTTAGCTTTCCAGTCTGTTTCTTGTCTTTTCCTTCTTTTTCCTGTAGTTTAGTCAAAAGGGAAGCAAAAATCTTTCATTATCATTTAATATTAGATGGAAATCTCGTTCAATAGAGAATGCCAAATTTCACCCTTGCATTAGTGTACTGTTAATGTCAACGCCAATCTTTAATACACCTTATAGTCAAATCTATCCAATTTTAATCAAGTTTTTTACAATAGCTACAAAGAAAATTAAATACCTAGGAATTAACCCAAGAAGTGAAATATTTCCACAATAAAAATTATAAAGCACAGGTAAAAGAAACTGAAGGAAAAGACAAGAAACTGACACACAAAAAAATGGAGAGATATTTCATGTTCGTGGATTGGAAGAACTAATAATATTTAAAAGTCCATACTTCCCAAACCAGTCTAGAGAGTCAATACAATCCTTATCAAAATACCAATGACATTCTTCACAAAATGAAAGAAACAATCTGAAAATTTATAAGAAACCACAAAAGATCCAAGATAGCCAAAGCTATTGCAAGCAAAAAGAACAAAACTGGACGAATCACGTTAGCATTTCAAAACATACTACAGAGCTATAGTAACCAAAACAGCATGGTACTGGCATAAAAACAGACATATAAACCAATGAAACAGAATAAAGAACCCTGAAACAAATCTATACATATACCGTGAACTCATTTTTGACAAAGGCTCTAAAAACACACATTGGAGAAAGGACAGTCTCAGTAAATGGTGCTGGGGAAAACTAGATATCCATACACAAAAGAATGAAACTAAACACTTACCTCTCCCCATATACAAAAATAAAATGAACTAAAAATTTAAATATAGGACCTCATACAATGAAACTCCTATAAGAAAACATGGGAGCAAATATCCAGGACATTGATCTGGGCAAAAATTTTCTTTTTTTTCTTTTTTTTTTTTTTTTTTTGAGACGGAGTTTCGCTCTTGTTACCCAGGCTGGAGTGCAATGGCGCGATCTTGGCTCACCGCAACCTCCGCCTCCTGGGTTCAGGCAATTCTCCTGCCTCAGCCTCCTGAGTAGCTGGGACTACAGGCACGCGCCACCATGCCCAGCTAATTTTTTGTAGTTTTTGTAGAGACGGGGTTTCACCATGTTGACCAGGATGGTCTTGATCTCTTGACCTCGTGATCCACCCGCCTTGGCCTCCCAAAGTGCTGGGATTACAGGCTTGAGCCACCGCGCCCGGCAAAAATTTTCTTAAGTAATGCCCCACAAGCACATACAGCCAAGGCAAAAATGGATAAATGGATAAATAATTATCGAGTGAAGGAAGCAATCAACAAAATGAAGAGACAGTCCATACAATGGGAGAAAATATTTGCAAATTGCCCATTTGACAAGGGAGTAATAACCAGAATATATAATAAGCACAAACAACTCAATAGGAAAAGCATCTGATAACCTAATTTAAAAATGGGCAAAACATTTGAATAAACATTTCTCAAAAGAAGACATAATAATGGCAAACAGGTATATAAAATGGTGCTATTCTATCCATCTACTATTAAAGGATAATGAACATCACTGATCATCAGAGAAATGCAAATCAAAACTGTAATGAGATATCGTCTCACCCCAGTTAAAATGGCTTTGATCCAAAAGACAGGCAATAACGAATCTGTTGAAGATATGAAGAAAAGGGAATCTTTGTACACTGTTGGTGGGAATGTAAATTACTAAAACCACTAGAGAGAATAGTTTGGAGGTTCCTCACACAACTAAAAATAGAGCTACCATATGATCCAAAAATCCCACTGCAAGGTAATTACCACCCCCCCAAAAAAAATAAGATCAAGATATTAAAGAGATATATGTATTCCCACGTTTATTGAAGCACTATTTGCAATAGCTAAGATTTGGAACCAACTTAAGTGTCCAATAACAGACAAATGGACAAAGAAAATGTGGTACATATACATGATGGAGTACTATTCAGCCATAAAAATGGGAGACCCTGTCACGTGTCACTTGCAACAACATAGATTGAACTGGAGGTCATTATGTTAAGTGAAATATGCCAGACAAAGAAAGACAAACTTTGCAGGTTCTCACTTATTTGTGAGAGTTAAACATTAAAACAATTGAACTCCTGAAGATAAGAGAAAAGAAGGATGGTTACCAGAGGTTGGGAAGGGTAGTGGGGAGATTGGAAGGAAGTGAGGATGGTTAATGGATACAAAAAAAATAGAAAAAAAAATGAATAAGACCCTGTTGTACTAGTGTTTCATAGCACAACAGAGTTACTATTGTCAATAAAAATTGTACATTTAAAAATAACTAAGAGTATAACTAAATTGTTTGTAACACAAAGGATAAATGCTGGAGGTGACAGATATTCCATTTACCCTGAGGGGATGATTATACATTGTATGCCTGTATCAAAATATCTCATATACCCCATACATATATAAATCTATGTACTCATAAAAATTTAAAAAAGCACTATATAAATATGAGCCATTATTATTAAAGATTTCATGGCCAAGAGAACATTTAGAAGTAAAAACACCTCCAAGAATGTTGCTCTACATCTCACAGAACACCTTGTGCACAAATGTAAGGCCTTCCTCTGCAGCCCAAGCTTTTATGTTGGGGCTTGAGGGAACCAGTAGTTATCTGAGAGAGTCATTCCAGTGCAATAGGACAGAGCTCCATGGTTTTATTACTGAGTGCACAGGTGACACCTTCTCATAGGGCTTATGAATCTGTGGTGTACTCTTCCTGAAACCACCTTGAGTGCAAGGAACCCTGTCTTTGGTTTCCTTTGCCACTTCCTAACTAGGTGAGGGAGAGCATACCTTCTTCTAATGGTTTATTGTGCAGAATTTCCACCCAACAAAAGTTTAGAATAATAAATTCAATATTTTAAAATATGACAAGTATGTATATTAAAAAAATACCACAAAATATATAAAATGTAACAAAACCTAGATGCTGTGTAATTATTTTGTGATTCTTTTCCTCAAGTAGGTGGCTATTCTGAGAATTGCCTGTGACAATTCTTATACAAATAAAATAACTTGCTCAGAATGTGGAAACCCTCAGCATAACAAATGCTTGGATGTATTTTACTAAAAATTTCAGAAGGCTTTTCCTTTACACATGTTTCAAGAGCATCTGCAGAGCACAAATAACTGCTTTTCTCAGCATGTTTTAAATGAGGAAACAGAATTGTAATGCAGCAGTGTCTCTCTCTCTCTCCAATTTTATCTCCATCTACTCTTCTTATTTTAAGGACATCTACACAGGCTGACTCTAAATAGACACTACAATAAAACAGTCCCCTTGCTGTTCCAATTACCATGGGCTAAGATGGCTAATTGGAAAATCCTATGTCAGAACATAAACTCTGAATCTGAAAAAGAAAGTTGTACTCCAGTCTGGGGAACAAGAACAAAACTCCGTCTCAAAAAAAAAAAAAAAANAAAAAAAAAAAAAAAAAAAAAGATAAAAAAGGAAATTGTACCATTGAAATAGAGTGAAAAACTTCCAGGACTATGGAGAGCTGAATGTATTCATGAAGTTTGCTGATCCAATATCAAGCAGAACAGAAGTTAATTGCATGGACTGAACTAATAGGATACTTAAATACTATCTTATGACTTGTTTATAACATTTGCTGATTCTTTTTCTTCTGTTTGTCAGAGTCAAGAATACTTTCTCTTCTTTTAAGCTATTTATAGCTTTTAAAAATTGAGTATACTCTAATGAGCTAGATTTAAAACATAATTCATTTCTATCTAATTTCTCCAAAATTTGGAAACTGTGAGTATTCTGAACTTAAGGCAATATAGTTATTTGCATAAGTTCAACAAGAATTTGTTTTCTTTCATAACTGGACATAATTGGAGACATGGTTATTTTGTAAAGCTTTTGACTGGAATGACATAGTTTCAGATGGCCTTGAGAAAATGAGGCTGACTTATGGAATTGATAAAAGCCCCTTAGAAAAGCTGGCCTCATACCTTGTCCTTCACAAGGTTCTAACTTCTGGTAAGTAAGCAACATCACTTTCTGACAGGTCCAGAAACCCCAAGTTTTTTTGGGACCTCACAAAGAGAGGAATTAACCCAATTCATTCAGGTATTGGTGGGCACAGATAAATCCTTGGCTGAGCTTGAGGCTTTTAAAAAGGTCTAATCTTAGGTTTCTTATGGAAAAGTTTCCAGCAAAACTTTTTTTTTTTTTTTGAAGACAGCCTATATGGCAAATGATTATTCTTGATGCACTTTAAGCAAATAATCAAGTCAAGCATAATAAAACTTATTTTACAAATACACTGCTACTACTCTCATTTTGTCTTTAATAAAATTGGGGAATTGGAGAGAAAAATTACATTTCAAAATAAACTACAGTACACCTGTTATTATTAATAACATTCTAGTCTTGTCCTGTGTTTTTCCATTTTTATTATTTTCTGTAATTTGGGCTGAATCCTAAATTTTCTGTAGCTACAAATCGCCAAAATAGTTTCACTTTCTTTTCCT